ATTTCGGGTCACCACTGCGATGTGGTATCTTTCCTTTGAAGGATACACTCAGATAATCGCCGGGGGCAGGCGGTCCGCAAACTCGCGCTTTTCTGCAGGCGGTCAGCAGAATTTTGGGGCGTGGCCAAACCTTCAGCGGGCGGCACTTCCTTTACGGTCGCATATTCTGCCAGCGGGCAGCAATACAGCATTTTTTGCAAGCGCTATGCAAATAATTTCTTTCAGCAAGCGCTCGGACTCTTTTTAAGCATTTTCGGGCGTACGTCGAGCGCAGATAAGACTCTGTGTGGCAGAGGTGACACCGTTGGTTTAATTACTCAAGTTTGAGGTACTTTCTGTCAGCGGAAAGTACCTGGGGGTTGCGCGGTCCTCCACAAAGGACCGTGCGGCTCTCGAAATTTTTGCATATTCTCGCGGAAAGTCCGCGAGAATGCGGCCACTGCGCCGCAGCTAATCCATAAAGAAACCGCGATTGTTCTTCAAGCATTCGTCTTTAACTTCGCCAACTTTCTTCCAAATTTCTGCAAGCGGGCCGCAAAAAATCAACGAACTATTTTTCCGGTGCGCGCTTGCTCAAAATTCGCATGGCCGCCTGCCCCCGGCGATTATCTGAGCATGCAATAGATGACTGGCTGCTGAATGGAATCTTCCGTTGATCTTCCGATCATTTTGAATAGTAGTTGACTATAAGCAAAAAACTTTAGCCTACAATATGAGAAGGGTTCCCATAGACAAATTAACGTCTGAGAAGAGCACATTGTGCGCCAACCTCCGTTTGCGGTTTTTTGCTAAGTTATTTTTTATCGCTCAGGAACGCACCACCTGCACACGACTAGGCCACACGTACCTTGAGGCCAGTCAATGAAGCTCTATTCTTCCATGGTTACAGTTTTATTTGATTGAAGCTGGTTGTGAGAAGTCATTCCCAAAATGTATCCATCAGTTGTAGCTTTCCCTCCTTAACATTGAGTGTTTATTGCAACAGAAATGCTCTCAATTCTATCAGATAAGTAAATGAGTGACGTAGGAGCTGCTGACATGGAGCTCCGCAAGGTAGCTCACTCGTGCAGCAGCACAAAAATTAGACGTTTCCCTGATGCGCAAAAAGGCAGCGCAAAGGCACTAGTAGTATGCACAGCGGTGATATTATCTATCTATTAGGATTTATCGTGGGAATTGGATTTCATTTCAAGCTAGTTATTTTTTTTCCAAATTATAGTTGGTAGCTCTATGTTTTTAAGTTTTTAAGGGCGTGGTACAGGTTCCGCAGCTATTGTTTGTTTATAAAACATGCTTTATTATAGCGTTGCATTAGGTTGTCTCAAAAGTAAACTCCTTTTCTAAATAAATGAAGCTGTTTCTGTTTTTCTAGCTGACTTAGATCATCAATCGAAAGAACGAAGCAAGCTCTACAGAACATCCACCAAAGGTCGGCCTAAGTAGTAGTCCAGGCAAAGTTTGGAGTCAAAATCGAAAAAAAACTTTAACACCTGAAAATTGCTGAATTTTTCCACGCTTGGAAAGCGAGAAAAATAAGGTAGTTTAATGACAAACTCTGCCCTCAGCCCCTCACACTTATGTCTTTGTATACTACAAGCCTTGGCAAGTATAACCGTAAAGTTTTACTTTTTGTTGTTCTCTGGTATTCGAGAAATACCAAGTTCAACATAAAAAAAACCCCAAAAAATGGCATTCTGGCAATTTCGGGCGCTCTTTGTTTACTAATTTTGAATCCAGGAAAAAATCCACCAAATACATTTTTGGGTACTACAATGTGCCAATTGTATCACCAAGTTGCAGGTTCCTAGGAATTTTCTGGAAGGAGATACGATTTTTAGGGTGCCCGAAACATTTTGATTTTTGGCTCCAAATTTTACCTGGATTAAGTATTAAGCGGACCAAGCTGTTTTGGTTCCTAGTTCCTTGGTGCTTAATTCTTTAGAGCTTGCTTTACTCTATCAAAAATGGTACCCTTAGTCTGCTAGGAACCAAAACAGCCTGGTTTATTTCAGAAAAGAGTTTACTTTTGGGACAACCTAATATTTATGAAGGCTCTACAAAATCAAAGTCTGGTAATGTGCTTGCCGCAGCTGAGTTTCCTCAAATATCGCAGTACCTGCATCTGAGGCATTCTCGGATTAGGAAAAAGCACTACGCAGTTTCGCAACATCGTCTTTGGTATAAGTCTTTTACATTCCTTTAAATTTTTATTTCCTTTACTTATTTGTTTATATTCCTTTATTCATGATATTTATTTTTATTTAAATCCTTATGCCGGCTTTTACACGCTTTCTACGCACACGCTAAGCGCTAAAGTGGTATCTCAAGTTTTAATGGTACAGAACCTTGTGGCGTCTACGAGGGCGCAAAAGTCGCAACCGACACTTTTGTCACGATTCTTAAAGGAGCCAAAAAACAAGCAAAAGAAAACTTGTCAAGTTCCATGCTCTGCAAGTGTTTTTTATGCTAATGATTTTAAAAAGCTTTGAGTGACTGCAAAAATTTGTGCACAACAACAAATAGTATTCGCCTTGCTGAAGGAAGAACAACGTTACAGTGTTTACTAGCAAGATACGGTAGCTCATTAGCATTATCTGACAGTTGTTGATATATTTCCAAAACAATGTGAGCAGTATAGAAGGCAGGCATTTTACTTGGTAACTATACCGTCATTTATATCACGTCTGGGACCCATTCGATCAGGCAACGATGCATCTCTTGAGAATATGACAGTTCTCCTCTGTCCCACTTCATATTCTTAATGATTGTAGCAACTGGAAATGAGTGCAAGATAACTGCAATAATTTTGGAAGAGTTAATTCGTAGTATTTTGCAGAATCTGAAAATTGCAACGTCGGAGTTGATAGAAATATTCTGGAAATGCTCCATCGCATAAATACATCTAATATTAGGTTATCTCATAATTATTGCACGTTTTTCTAACCTCTTTTTGAGAAAGCTGATTTTCAAAGAAAAAACGTTTTTTCCAAAACCTTTTATGATATCGGGAAGCCCGATTCCTCCAGTTTTCAATATGTGTTTTCATTTTCGCAAATCCTTGTTGAAGCCGAAGTTTCATGTCTTTAAAGACAAGTGATTAAAATATAAAATTTTTTCCCTTCACTCTCCTTGCTCCAAATCAATGAAAAGTAGACGGATTTTCTGAAAAAAATATGCGTAACGATCGCGAAGCATTGTGCTAGCTACAAAACGCTTGTCAATACAAGATTTTTGAAAAATTCCGACCCGAGAAATCTTCTCTCAAACTTGGCTGGTCGCTGAGGCCCATCTAAGTTGCATAAAAATCTCAGGCAAAAAGCGACTGTATAAAGTTTCGCCATATGCACGTAGAGTAGACACCCAGTACAACTAATGCACGGAAAACGGCAGCATTTCATCGCCTTTTCGAAGAGAAAAAATTTATAAAAATCCCAAAAAGGCAGTTTTTGGATTTTCCAAAATACTGAAAAAATGGGTACTTCTAGTTTTTTTGCAAAATTTTCTCACAGAAATATGCCGTAAAATCCAAACTTCACTCCATTGTACAACCGACCATCGGCTATATAATGAGCAAAGTTCGCGCGATCCTAGTACATTAAAGAGCAAGTCAAGCTCTCTCAAAGTATAAGTTTCTAGAAAAAAACTTGGGAATTTTTTAGACTATAAAATCTTTCTTAAAGTGGCTACGATCAACAAAAACATGCGTGCTATAGTCAAAGGTTTGTTGTTTGCAGTAATTTTTATTGTGCTCAAAAAGATAGTTCTGGAAAAGAATTATCTTGATTAAAAGTTTAATTTCATAAAAAGTGCATTAATTATGAGACAACCTAACATGTCAAGAAAGTCTCCACAGTGCTTCGCTCTTCCAATTGCGAAAAGTTTCCAATGTAGCATTTTGTGATTTATCATTTGTTTCAGAGCCAATTTGCAGGACTGAGATCTTCATATGGTTAATCATCGGAATTACGACGAGTTTGATTGTCTTTTCAGTATTCCCGCAACGAATCCTCATCATATGTGAGCGTCAACATCAATTTTTCTAGCTAGTTTCAACTAAAATTACGCTGTTTTTCCATAAACCCTTCAAAAACTGCAGAATTTTTCTCAAGTACACTGATCAACATTCATCGCAGAAAAAAGATGCATATTGACTTTTTTCGGAGAATAGAATCAGCGTAGTATGAATCTTCAACTAATTTATAAATTTGTATATTTTACTTGGATATTTGACGATTCGTGGCACCTGTGTCTCGTAAGATGACCGCTGTGCTCATGTTGAAATACATGATAGGCAAGCACTGAGCGGGACAGCGCGGAGTGCAATGTCCTTAAGTGCAATCATTTAACAAATGTAGATCAAACTTTGTACAATGCTGTCCAAACTTATATTCCTCAACAAGCCCATTAGAAATTGTTGGGCACGATTAGCATATCGGCCGCGCAGCTGTCCGTATATTTCAAGTCACTCGCACTGACAAACTGCGTGCCAAATTAGCATACCAGCGATATGCATCACACATACACATCGTGAGTATGGATGTCGAGAACTGATGGCGGAGTGCTGACAGAAATGTTGTTAGATGCGCAAGCTCCCCTTTTTCTTCCGCAAAAGAGAATGAGAGACTTGAGAGTTCAATCCCAAACGTCACAAACTCCAAAAAATCAAATGGTGTACAGATGAGTAATAATGTGCGAGCATTAAAAAATCTGATTTGTTTCTATTAAAGTTGTTCTGGATGCGATGGAAAACCTGTGCTGGACTCGACTCAGCATGCCCTTGGAAAAACTCGGCACTAGGCTGCATGTGAAATCACAAATAGTGCTTTAATCCAGTGGTTAGTTGATTAAAGCGGCTTGTGCCTCCGTAATTGGGACATCGATTGGCCCCAAGTGTAGTACGGTAGCATCCCGTATTATGATTCGTCCATCGCGCCGGGGGCGGAGCCGAGGCAATTGAAGCGGATTGAGCTCTAATGAAGGCACCTCCCGAGGGGCCAGCCATGTTCTTCTCTGACGGCTCCACCTTGCTACGATCTATGAAAGATGAAAGTCTTCGAGCCACGTGGGCACCATCGCTCATTGACCCATCACCGGCCAGGTAACCTGCTTTATTGAAAAGAGCTACGAAAAAGACCTAAGTCTCGTTTCTGTGCTGTTGCTACAAGGTCAGTACCAGTGGCGACCTCCCTAGATGTCGTTCGAGTCCTTCTAGGCTGGAAATGTGCTGTAGCTGACATGAAATGCACATTTAATCTGCAAGCAAGTTGCTATGCCTCCCTCGCGGTTTCAGTCCCCAGGTCCCTGTGCAGCGGCGAGAACCGAACACACCCATAATGAGTTCGGTTCACGGAAGCCGTACGCTCTTTCCTATGCTCCTATACCTCTTCCTGCATTGCTCACCTGAAAAGATGCTCTAGTGGTGCAAATCACACCTCAGATTCAAAACCACTCAAGTCTACTGATTCCTGGCCGAAGCTATATTTTGCATTGACTTGAACAGTTTCAGCGCACAGCTTGCACGTGCACATTTCGAGAAGCATCCACCGAACAACCTGCGCAAGTCAAACTTTTTCCACTTTGTCGTCGCCCTATATGATCGTGCTAGCCAACCCATCGAAATCGAAAGGACACAGTTTGCTGGTTTTGTCGAAAAGGACAGAGAAATCGACGGTCAAGACACGAAAAATGGAATTCACTACAAGCTCTATGTGTTATTCCAAAATGGTAAGGGCTAATTAATATTTTTTGCTCTATTGGTTTGATAGAAACATATGAGAATTGTCATGGAATTAGCCGCTAAACTTTCAATGAAGCTAGGGAGACATATAAATCACTGTTCCCATCGTATTTGTTTTATTCGTTGCATTTTTTCGCCATATCACTTGACCGTTCTTTCATTGTCTCTCAAAACGCAATGATCATATTATAACTTTGCAGTCAAGTTATGTCCATTTGCAAATTCCAACTTAAGGTATTATAGAAATAGAAGAGTAATTGAATCTTACCTCTTCTTTCTAGAGTTGCAGTTGTGTTTTCCTTCCACTATCTCAAAATGTCCCTCTGGATGACGTTTTGGTAAAAAATCATGGCTTTCAAAATCCACTTTCAGGCCTTCGAGCGGAGCAAGATCTCTACGTCAGACTCATTGACAGTGTTTCAAAGCAGGTGATTTTCTTTATGCTGATTCTTTTCAATGTGTTTCATCCCACTAGTGAGATATTTCGCGGAACCCGGATTCTTTCGTGTGGCAAAGGCTATTACTAAGCATGCGCGCGACTCAGTTTTACGGCCAGTCGGGACCCGAGTAGCATTGGCAACAGATGGCATGTCGGTTCCCGACAATAGCTGTTCTCGGACCTGCCACCTTATCTAGCGCTCATTCCTCAAGCGCGAACGTTATTCGGGCGCTTAGTCACGCATAGCAAATAGGCTGATTGTATCAGATTTTGGCTCGTTTTAATAGACGGAAGCAGCCACAGCGCGAAGTTGAGCAAAGACAGCACAGTCAAAGGTAGAAGCTCCTTCCTGATGACCTGATTAACCAGCGAGAACCTTCCATTCAATTGTATTCTATTCAGGTCATTCTTTTCACACCGTTCTTGATTTTCTTTTCAAATTTCTGCTGCAAAGACCAAATACAGAATACATGTTAGTTGAGTGTTGATGATGTGCGGAATCGGAGTGCATGCGTTTGCTCCAATTCGTAGAGATTACGGTAGGGCGCTGTGGATCAATGCGGCGCCGAATGTGGCTATACATCATTTTTATCTCAAGCGCTGGATGCTTCAACTAGACAACTTGGCGAACTTGCCCGGAAACATTGACAGCTTGCTTGGAATTTTCGAAGCATATACGAGAGATACAGGGAGCAAAGTTGAAGCTGTACCGAACGCGCGCTGTTTTTGCGAGCAGTTTACCAAAGCGACTTTAGAGTCTCAAAAAGCAATTGTTGTAGCAGCAAAAGCTAAATTATTACAGACAAGAAAATATTTATTCTTCAGGCTATTGCGTATGAGGGGCAGGATAAAAATCCAGAAATGTGCCGAGTGTTGCTAACTCACGAAGTGATGTGCAGGTAGAGAATGCAGCATTTACGCATTCACAAAGTCACGACAAAGTAAGTAACATTTCCAGCCGTTGTTGTGAAAAGAAAAGCTGTGGAAATCGTAACGAAACGCCTAGTGATCCAATAATTATCGACAAGTGAGTTTTTGAACACTATTAATTCACAAAACGCATGAGACATGTGGCACACACTGTTCAATTACCGTTACGCTTCTCATCTCCTATTGATCCTAGTGTTAGGGCACGCATTATCTAATTAAAGCCACGTTGTCGGCTATAAAAATGTCATAAAAGTCGAACCTCATTTGGCTGATTTCCTTGCGTTATAGCCACACGGCTTTTGCCTGGGCATAATATCTTCAGTTCAAATTCGGCCAAAGGTGCTTGCTCTCATGAATGACCAGGACTTTCCTTCTTCTCTAGTTGCCCATCCTGAGATGTACCACTACTTTACTTTACCATGATGCAAAAAACTTCTCCTTTACGAATTGCCATTTTCGTATGCTAAGATTACTCATTATGTGAGAAATTCAGTGAGCCTAGGAGGCTAGTTGTTTGTTAGTAGTGGCGAACTAACCTTTCGGCCTGATGGCTTCTTCTGTAGAGGAAGTAAAAGATTTATGACTTTACTCTAACCCACTCGACTTAACGAAAGAACCTTAGAAATGACCTGTTAATATAACTCACTATGATGCTCATCTAAACCTGACTCGTTTGTGTCCATTACTATCATCCGATGCCATAAGGTCTTTGCATCTTCGTGCTCTTCTCAAGCGAAGCAACAAACAATTACTCGCGCAGGATATCGAATTAGGCACGGAGATGAGAAATAATGACGTAATGGAGGGTTGTATCATTGCAACCTTTCAGAGCCCGACGCTCTAGAAATTACACCGGATTCAGTGGCTAACCTTATTCCAAGTTGATTATCGGAAGCCCTAAGCAGCAACTTTACTTATGGATCCATTAGAAGAAATCTGTTTTAGGTACTTCTTGAAATTCTTCCTAAAATGTAACCAGAACTGTTTGAAGAATGCCGGAAATCCACGGGACATGCGACGATTCCAAGTAAGCTTTTGCTTAATTAACGAACTAATCCATGATGCTTTTCTTAAAGTCTTGATCTTTTTCTGTAGTCGACAAGCTGTTAGCTCGGATAGGTAGCAGATGTGATTTGGTTTTTGAAACTCTGAAAAAGGCGAAACCGCCGAAACATCAGTTTGTGCAATGTATTACTGCACCAATCTTGGTTATTTTGAAATCAGACAGTCAAGACATTCTATAACGCTTTTCTGGAGTTATGACTTCAATACAAAGATTGATTGCGTTTCTGGCCTGCATTTTAGTTTCGTTTTGTCAGACTTATGCACACAATCCAAAAGAAGCGCGGTTTGGATACATAGAATTTTTTTTCACAAGCATCTGTCTGATTTTTATCTGCTTTTCTTTTTCGATTACATCTTACCAACCAATGGCGAAACAGACTAAGAGTACAAGATATGCCAGTTTGTTGTCATTGTTGTGGAAATCATTTATTGCACAAAGAGTTTCTTGGAATCGGCCGAAAAGCACTTCTTGAACGAACTTTGTTTTGTTGCATCATTTTTTGACACTATTATTCAGAAGATCTTTTGACTCCCTGAACTCGTTTCCATAGCAAAAGTAGCTGCGATGTAGATTGCCGAACACTACCAAATAAAATTCGTAGTCAAAAATACACAACGATATCGTTGTTGCTGACTTGTAGGAGATCATTTATTGTCAAAATACTAGAACGTTCACAGCTTGTGCGGCATGTTGCTATAACCAGTCGACCCCGTCTTTAGCACCCAATCCATCATCCAATGAGCTCGCGACCGTATAAACAGGTGGCACATCTCGACTGTCATCGTTTCTTTTGTTAATCACTGACCGAGGCAGTTAGTCGCACCTAACTAAGCGGAAGCATCATCTTAGCTGGACAGAAACGCACTCGCTTGAAAAAAGCATATGATCCGTTCTATTCAGGTTGTGCTGAGCACTACTGCAAGAATTGATGGTCCGCTGCTGGCTGTGTCGGAGAATATGTTCGTCCACAACAATTCTAAGCATGGACGAAGAGTGAAAAGAGTGGACACGTCTGATGGTAATTTTTCTCAAACTTTTCCTCGCTAATAACGAGCAGCACTCGAGCTATAGCATGAGCAATAAGCGGCCTTGCGCGTACATCGAACAGTTGTTCAATTACACGTAGTGTCAGATGGATAAGCTTGTAACGTTTCTCGCGAAGATGATTACATAATTGTTTGGAAGAGCTACTAATGATGCAATTAGTCTCGAATTCCAGCGTATTTCATTCCGTCTGTCTTTTGCTGATTCAACGTTGTCACTTAACGACGCTGTCGATGGCGCGGGGGAAAGCAAGTGCACGTGCTCAAAAAAGTGTTAGAAAAATTGGAAGTCATACGAGTTATTAGACAATTCGACATAAGCCGTCACTATAACTGTAATTTGAGCTTAGATTCCAAGATTACACCAGCCGTTCAATCTTCTGTGAATCGATAATATAGAGCATTGTAAGAGAATAATTTAACCCGGCAAACAATCAACCGCTTCGTGTACTTTCTTCTAAATTTTTCTGTGTATCTTTCTCGAAGACAGACTTTTGTAAAGGCCTAAATCTAATTGCATTTAGCACTGTTGGATATTTCCTTCTTTACTAATCCGAGAACAGCAAAACAATGAAAAGGTTCTCAAACAACGCACGGATTCGTTGCAAAGAAAGTTTCGTACCTTCTCATAACTTTTACTTCTCCAACAAGTCTTAATTCTACAGGAACAAAACGATTCCCTCACGGATTGCTTCTTACTGGTCATGTTCTCCATTTCTAGTCCATCATGAACAGACTTGTTAATGTTTTGGCAGTAATAGAAATTCCAGATTCTTCTCTTTCGAAACATATCTCTCTACTGCTTTGCATAACATCAGGATTTACAACAAAACTTGATAGAGGGGCCGGTCTAGAAACACGTCGTCCATGAAGGTCAAGCAATAAGTATGAGCCAATCAATTTTGCAAAAAGAAATGAACCCTTACAAATTTATGTAGTTGTCTACTATATATCCAGCTACATTGCTACATAGATTGTACTAGTTACAGAGTTCTCTGAAGTCTCGGAGATGTCAATGGGATCGACTCCTCTGATCAAAGCTTTATGTCCAAGTGAAGGATGGATTCAAGGCGGTACACAGGTAAAATACGAGCCCCCCCCCTACCTAATTGTTCTCAATAAGGATGATTCTAGGTAATAGTAATAGGCGAGAACTTTTTCGAAGGGCTGCAGATAGCATTCGGTTCTACCACAGTATGGAGTGAGGTACGTTGAGCAATTTACTAGTGCTTACAAGGAAATCAAAAGCTGAAGTGGGCAATCCAAACAAGCTGCATATCATTGCTTACCATTGAATGCGGTTGGGAACGCCCACGTCAAACCTTTCTTCCTTTTCTACTAAACACTTTTGTAGACGAAGCTTTAAGCCATTAGAGGAAATTATTTTGCTAAGAAAATGTGCATGAAAGTGAAGATTCGGCGGCCACGTTCGCTTTGATGCTGAGCCAAAACATGCAGCTAGGTAATTTTTTGTAGCCCCTACCTAAAGATGGTCTGAAGGGGCAGTAATGTGCTTGATTTTGCAAATTTTATGTACGGTTTCTCGCGATAAAGCATCTCCTAATTCCGCCGACAAAGGGTTTAGCAGATACTAAGACAGATTCGAAGTCAGCGTTCTATGCTGTAATGATATGCAGCTTATCTGGTTTGGCCACTTCGGCTTCTTACCATTCTCTTGTTAGTTTTGACTTGTTATTTTCTCACTTTGCAGCTTGTTCAAGTTATCTCTCCACACGCTATGAGAGTCACAAGTCCACCTCGTCACAATGCCGGAGTTGTCGAAGTCACACTTCAGTACAAAAATAAGCAATACAGCAGAGGATCACCTGTTCGGTTTACCTACGCATGTGAGTCTGATCGCTGAGCTTCAGAAAAATTCTCGTTGAACATGAATGCAACAAGTTCGGTTTTTTCAGCTCTGACGGAGCCTAGTATCGATTTCGGTTTCCAGCGGCTGCAAAAACTGCTCCCCAAATATCCAGGAGATCCCGAGCGGCTACCCAAGGAGATCATACTGAAGAGGGCAGCTGAACTTGCTGAAGCGCTCTACAGCAGGTCCGAACAAGGCTGTTTCCAAAAGCTGGACATGCTCACAGTAAATTCTCTGTGTTTCAGAACCCAAGCGGAACAGTTAAGCAACTACGCTTCTGTTTATTCAGCCGGATTTGATTCATCAGCAGGTAATCTTCAATCTTCCAGAATTTTTTTATGTGATCTAATCACAACACCAGTAGGGTGTGGATTTACCTTATAACATATTTTGACACTGAATCTATGTGCAATTGCAATGCTAAAGGCAGAAGAAATGAGAGCGGTTTATCAGTACTCTAGGAGTTAAATTCAAGCACCGAGATACAACATTTGAGAATACTCGCCATATTATGATATGCAAATTTCGGGTGTATGCCAAGATGAACGATAGCTGGAATAACCATGCTGTACTCCTGCGCTTGTCAATATGTCGCTCATTAAGTCTTATTTTCAAAGCGATATGTTCTTCACTGGACTGAAAATGTGTTGAACAGTAAGAATTAGGTCATACCGAGCTTTCAACGTTTTTTCCTAATTTCTAAATATCATCACAGTGTAAGTACAGAATTTAAAATGTTTGACCTACGCAATATGGCGGCACAAGATATCGTTTATTTGGCTGCCCCCCCCCCAAATTTCCTTGAAGGCAGCGTTCAGGCAAATCTGGACATACAAGGTCCCTATGGATTTTGGGGCCCTAACTAAGACACTGCTCAAGCGGCAGCTCAGATAGTAAACTCACAGTTGAGATATTCGCCTCCAAACTGGACCCCGGGATTGTATTCGCATGGATTCATGGCGCGACACGCGTGGGTCCTCGCGCAAAACTGACGTGTCGCGCCCTGAATCCATGCAAATACGATCCCGGGGTAGTTCGGAGGCAAGTATCTCAACTGTGAGTTCACCACTTGAGCTGCCGCTTGGGCAGTGTTTTAGTTAGGGCCCAAAATCACTTCTTACATCAGAACCCCGTATGTCCAGATTTGCCGACGCTGCCTTCAATAAGAAAGTTGGTATAAACAATGCCAGATTTTGTAATACTCAATCACTTTTAAAGTGGGCATCGATATTACTTAACCACATTGGAACAACATAACATCCTGCCATTTGTTGAAAGTCTTGAGTCTGACTGAAGCTCAGTCCATTCACCGTTATCTTTTGCAACTAGAATGATATAGGGCAACAAGAATGTTGGAATGCCCAATTATATTTTTTCGCCCGTTATTTGCGTTATTTGGCCACATTCCGTAACCAAATGAGTTCATCCGAAGAGCTGCAAATCAGAGTTTATTCCTTTGTGATCGAATGATTTTCGGGAATCAAAGGTAACCAATCTTAATTGTTGAACACACGAAAATACTGCAAAGGATTCGGATAAAACAAAGAAAAAGATTTTTACTTGCCATTATACATACTGTCTGAGTCTCACAGCTTGCACCATATATACCACCACTTCGTACGCATCGCAGGCTTCTACGTTGCCTTTAGCGCTTTTTTGAGCGTCGTCTGAATCTTGCGCTCTGTGTCACACGTCAAGGGTAGCGAATGAGCTGCGCTATGTCTGATCCCGTCTAAGGAAGACTCTTACTGTTAGAACACGGACGATACATGCAATCGTTCGAGCTTACAGATTACTCTTCTCGAGCACACGCTTCGCCGAGATCCCTGCCCTATGGAAGCAATCAGTCCTTATCGGCAGCTGTCTACCCCTCAACGTACCCTACCGTCAGTGCGAGTCCTGCAGCGAACTTCCTCAATGCTCCAGCAGGTAAGTAATACTGATTTGCCAAGTGTGATACCTGCATCTTGTCTCTTCCAGGCTTCGCACCATTTGGTTCCGTGAATCCCTTTGCGGCGACCTTGCAATCCTCAACCCGCTTAGCTTAAGCTGAACATGGCTTCGATATAAAATTATAATCAAGTCACAACACAGAGCTCTTTATTCTCTCCGAAAATGGGTCTAACTAGTGGACAAAGAATCCGCATTTCTTGTAAGCTACGATCTCATAAATGAGCAAGTGATCTCTGCTTTTATAGCAATAATAGTTTTTGGTGTCATGTCATAATTTGAACCGGATGATTATTTGTACACGCAGCATATATTCTGATCTGCAATAGACTCTGCTCATTGTTATTGTTTTTATTTGCTTAACTCAAGATTCATCCAGTGCTGTTCTTTCAAGTCGTTGTCAAACCTAATAAATTTACATTCACGAAGCATTATGGTCGGAATTAATGCGAAGGTGGACATTTTGACACAGAAACATTCTGATATTGTTCATGAAGTCTTTGCATTGTCCTAATGTGCTTGTCACGCAGATTAAGCGACAAAAATCAATCGAATTACTTACCAGAAAACAAAACGAGAAAAGAATACCTCATTTGGTTACCACTCTTGAGCGGAAATAAACTTCAATGAGTCTTCCTCGCACTCACTAAGGAGGGAACAAGGACACTTACCTGCCCGAAATACTCCTCTTATTGCATACCAATTTTCCATAAAAAGGAATACAAAGGCGAATTTGAAAGATTGGTTGCGCGGTTGTCTCTATATAGTGCACTTATGATACCCTACTAGAAAGTTTCTATCATTGTACGTTGCTCGTGCGGAGCGGGCCTCACATTTCCAGTTAAGAGACTTAAGAGTGTGCCTTGCACTGTGTCTGTAGCTAGTGGTTGTCTCACCTTTAAGAGCCATTAGACGGCAGCGACCGTTTAGTAGCTTCCAGTGGTGAGGTACCACCGCTACCACTTACGTCCGGAAGTTTGTATACAATGTGCCTGCAATACACCTCATCTTTTGAAAAAAATCGGAGTCCCGTTTTTTTTTCAGCACCACTTCTTTATCGCTGCCTTCAAAATCTTCATTCAATTTCACTTTTGAAAATTCTACTGCAAAGCCGTTTTGCTGCTGACTTCGCTACCAGTCGCTCGAGCTGGCACATAGATCTTGTGCTCTATCGAATATTGAGAAACAGGCTTAGGCTCGCAATCGTTTCCGAGGCCTATCGTAAGTACGCTGTATTCTCCTTGATAGGCCAGTCACAGTCAAATTTGCTCACCCAGCTTGTGTCCTTTATATATGACTTCCTCACTTTTGCTTTCGACTAAATCAACGTGAGGCTGTTGGTCTGCGGCGCTACAGAAAAGTAGAAGATCAAGGCATCAGCTAAAATATGGTCGAACTTTGTGTGTATTATAGTCGAGACGATCAACAAGGCCACCAAAGTTCATATTCTTCTTGGAATTGTTTTTATGAAAAAGTCAAATGAGAGCGTGGAGGTCAAGGCGACAATTACGTTTTTTCGAAGCCCATATCCGAATTTTGCGAGCCCAAGTCGGCTCCGTAACCCCTTCTTCTACATTACTGCGGCTTAGTTGGATATATGGGTGACCCGTCTGACATTTCCCTTATTGTCCCTCTCTTTAAACATTCACGATCCTCCTGCTTGTCGTCAGTGACTGTTCCACAGATTCTGATTTCACAGCTAATTTATCCTTTTACGTACACCTTCCCCCATCCCGTTAGTGAACTTGATGTTCCTGTTGTCTGCCTTCTCATAATGTGAGCGGTTCATCGGTGTTTCGCTTTCGCAACGTATTCTTGAATCAAAATGGCGGTATATTCTTCTCACATTCGTGCTGTAGAGTCCGATGAATGCTGCTCATCTTGGATAATCTCGAAAAAAAACTGCGCTCAATCGCTTTGTGGGTAGTCCGTAGTGCTTCCGACGTGGCTGCAGTGTCGGCACAGATCTCAACTGCGTAAAAGAGCGCTGAGAGAACGGTTGACTCAAGCAGGTGGGTTCGAAGTTCCGGATTCGTCAACAGGTGAGGGGTTTTCTTCAACTTTTTGAACGCAGCTCAAGCTCCTCTTATTCTCTTGTTGATTTCCTCATATCGTTCTCTATGCATCGAACGTTTGTAAGAAGATTTCATTTTGTTGGGGATGCCTTGCTATTCAATTTTCGTGTTTTTGCAAAAGGGTCTCTATGAACTAAATCTCTTCCGACTCATGCGCAATTTCATCCTCTCCCCCTCTTCTTTAGGCTGCTTCAGGATCGTCTCTGTAGCGTTACTACTCGAAAAGAGAACAATATCCTTCGCAAAAAGGTTTGAGAGAATCACCCATTAGCGTATGCTTCTCTCTCCTAAACCAGTGACTTCGTCAACCACTGCCAGACGGCAGTCGAAGAGCTTCGGCAAGGTTTTGTCGCCTTGTCATACCCCCTTTCAGTTGGGATGGTCGGGGGAAGGCAGAGTAGCTGCCCCGTCGTTGTACGGTCTTTAGCATCCTCGTCCTCACTCAAGCTTGCTTCACTTCTTGCTTGACCAGCGCTGACAGGATGGCGCTGGTTTCGACGCTGTCAAAGGCTGTCTCGTACTCGACGGAGATTAGGACGAGAAGCAGGCGGTATTTTCCGCAGACAACTCTCGAGAACCGTCTTTGATAGCGGCCGCCGTCGAAAAAATCGATGATAGCCGCTATCAGAGATTTCACTAAGCGAACAACGGGATAAAACAAATACGCTGTATTTTGGAACAATATCAGTAAAAATCACACTTGGCGAAGAATGAGTAGAAAAGTAAATTTACCCTCTTGTTATCTAAAGCGGTTTTTTCAAGAAAAACAAGCAACAACTGCAAGAAAAAAAACAAAAACTTTTTTCCGATTTCGTCGCGCAATCAGCTGTTCATCGATCCTCACTCACTTTGGCGCCCGAAATTGTGCATTGAGAGTTTTGCACCGCAAAAGAACGTCATCTGCGATGTTTCGTAAGTTACTCGGGAGCAAATTACGGGGATTTCCTCTGTGCTCTCCTCTTTAGCATAGTATTTACCTTACGTCGTCGCCCGGCTCATCTCCGATGACTCGGTCGGGAGCTGATCTCCCTGCCGGGCTTCATCTGAACCTCACCTGTAGGGTGACCTTGCATATTTACACCACGGAAAGTGGGCAGTCCTCGTCTCACCCGACAAAGCCTCATCTGAGGGCCTCAGGGGAGATCATCTCCCGTGACCGATTTACTACGGGCCTAAGCAATACATATCCTTTAGACGATCCCACAAAAAGTTCTGGAACATTAGTGGATGCTTCTAAAAGTACAAAAAACAATGAATAGTTGTATTAGGTCAGCGGATGATTTTTGTTACAGTCCTTGTATTTGATTCTAGGAAATTCAAAGCCTCCCAAAACTACAACGTGCTCCATATGTAGGGCACGACAAGCCTTACACATCAGTATAGTTGATGCTGCAAGTGCACAGGTAGCCAGCTTACGCAGTTTTGTGAACACATTTTTCCTTGTTTTTTCAATTTCAATCGAAATGCATATCATCAAATGCGCCTGTTGAGCTGATGTTAAATCCAATTTCCGTATCTGCTGCGCGGATCTCTAGAAGAAGCTATGAGCCTTTGAAATTACTGGCAAACATCCGATGCCACAACCTCAGTTATCATTTCAAATCGCTTATCTCGATTGCATGATCAGGAGATTCGAGGACGCATTACTTATGTTATCTGAGCTCGCTTAAACTTGCTTTTTTGATTCCTAGTAGTAAACAATTCAGGAAGAGATAGGTACAAACTTAAGAAACACACTATCACACTTGTTTCGACAGTGTGTGCAATGCGTACTCGAGTCTTCTAGTCACAGAATAAATTATGTTTATGTTGCAGATGTACGTGTGCACTCCTTCTAGCCAGTACGCTCAACACCATGCTAATTATGTAATCTAAAGCTGGTTTTCAAACCACATTGTGCATCGATGACTTCTTTCAGAGAGCCGCGCATCAGATAAGGAAGGTGGATTTGAAATCAGCCTAACAAGGCGAATCGCATAATATGTATTTCGCTTTAGATCGCCACGGCAACTTGGAATCTTTTCGTTGTATGTGTTTTCTCCCTATCATTTTTCACAATGTACTATTTTAGCGCTGTCTCTTTTATGGCAGCGCTCTGGTGCCGAAATCAAAGTGCCCGAATTTCCCGGAAAAAATCAAAGGGCGCGAATTTCTCGGAAAACCTGCGCTAGAAGTTATCTGGCCTGCTGATCACGAAAAACACACCTGCTTTGGAAATTAGCGCCTTACTGTAGGGCTACGGTAAGTAGACGTTGGAAAACACATTAATCTTCCCAAAAAACAGCAGTCTATTTTTCTCTCTGGAAAAGAGATCTCGATCAGATCGCTAGCGCGCAATAATCTACCGGAACAGCTCTACCGAATCATGTTAACTAGAGCCTTCCATGTGTGTTCTGTGCTGAGTACACCACTACGAAAACCCGTCCTCACACAAAATCAAGCGGGCTGAAAACTGAATAGCAAGATAGTGTAGCATATCAGAAAACTCATCTTAACGAGCTGAACATCTTTCTTCAGATTCACATCTTACGCAATCTGAGTGAAGTTATGAGGAAAAAACGAAAAAAACGCGGATCGCCAGTTTTTGCGTTTTCTGTCGAATAATTAGTGTGGATACTGTATTTTAGCGCTGTCTCTTTTATGGCAGCCCTCTGGTGCGCTGACGTGTAGAGAACGAGGAGTTAGTAATATTTTCATTTTTTCATTTCATTTCATTTATTACATAGGATCAACCTATGTTAAAGTAACAGTAAAACAAAAGTAACAGTAAAACAAAATTTTAAGAACAAAACGGAATAAACACAACAAAAGAACAAAGCAAAACAAACATTTGGTCAAGTAATAGCAGAAGGACCCGTATCAGTCATAGTGCTGGTGCCGGACTGCAGATAACTCTTCAAGATGGTCTTGAATTGAGATAACTTTGCAGGAAACAATCCTTTCCTGATGAGCCTGTCCATATCAAAAACAACACGACAAGTGAAAAAGTTTCTGCGGACCTGTAATCAGGACCCCTGAATGACCAACTTACGATGCCCCCCCTCGTAGTGGAAACCGTGGTAGGGAAGAATACCTTGAACTCTAAACCACATTTACCATATGCAATCTTATGCGCCATTATTAGGTCAAATTTGCGTCTTCTATAGGCAAGCGTGGTGAGGTTAAGATTCATATTGCGTATCTTACCACTATGTATCAAATCATAGATATAACCAATCTTGCGTATAAAGAACTAGCTGGCTTACCCGGCTCCGCCGTGTTCCGAATAGAAAATTCCATTTCTTAACCGA